TTCCAGGACAACTCCCCTAACCACTCTACCACAGCCGCCCCCAAAATTATGCTAACCTCCTCTCGAGTGCACGAGCAGCTGGATACAAACAGGTGGAATTCATCAGTTTACGCTCTTCATTTACACACTTTTCCTGAAGATAGAAGAGTTTGTTGAATCTGACGTGGCATGTTCGTACGAACCCTTCGTACGAACAAAAGTAAGAGAAATTTAGGATAAGAATACAAACATGTTCTTCCATGAGGCCCAATGAAACTATAAACTAATACACTGACAGATGTTTACATAGGGTATAATGGGTGGGAGAAACTGATCTGACCTCCATCCATGTTAAAACTGGACCACAGTTGATTTTGTTGTCTGCTATGGCAGAAAAGCGGGACAGGTAGTTCGCCAACATCGTGGTGACTGACTGGAGGGAGACACACGGCAGAGCAGCAGATAAATAATACGCTTTAAGTTAAAGGTTAAACATGAAGCAGCTGAAGCTCTGCTGTACCTCAACAGTTTCAGTTAAGGTGTCGTGTCGTGGAAGCTCAGCGAGTTGGGAGTAACGACGGTCATAGATACACAAGTGCAGGTGTTTGTCCAGAACCCTGAAGTCCTCATAAGATCTCTTCACCAACCAGTTTCGACTCTGACAAAGAAAAAATGGAGTTTCTGTTACATTTCCTTCATTCTGTTTGGGTAGAAAACACATTAATAGTGGCATGTTTGCTATTTATCTATGAAAAATCTAGAAACAACTGAGAAAAATCATCAACCTGTTACTTATTGAGCAAATATACAAAAGTAATGTTACCTGGCAGGTGATCTGGATCATAAAAACGAGTTCTTTAGAGTCCAGCCCAGACTTTGGTCCTTCGGTTTGCCCCTCTGCTAAAGCCAACTRCGTAGCCAAAAACATAAAATGAATAAACAGGAAGTCTGGTGAAGAGAAAGGAAATGGTATGTAAATATTGGATGAGCGTAATCGAAAATTCGAAAATTCTTTTCTGTTTTACCCCGCACACAGGAACAATCATATTGGAGTCTATTTTATAATTCAATTGAAAACAAGGGTTTAACAATGAAGAAACTCAGAAAAAAATAAAAATAACATTAAAAAAAAGACAGAGATGGTGTTCTTGAAATCTATGTATATTTTATGACCAGCTCATTTAGTATCTACATTCCTCATGAATCTGGCAGTATTTGATGTATAATAGATCATGTCAGAGCTTGTAGCCACCGGGAGTTCAACACATGCTTGTTTTGTTGCGGTAGTTTTTGGAGAATTTCTTTTGATTGACATAAAACTGACTTCAAAGGCCCTCCTGAGCCGAGGGAAGTTCTGGTTATTTATAACTGTTAGCAACTCATCCAGAGCCACTGTTACACAAGATTGCAGCGACCTAGTTACAGCAAACCAGACTGACAAAAACCACAAACAGAGAAATTTGTTCTTAGATGATAGAGGAGTTCACAGCTGTGATTGAGTCAAACCAAAAGGCAAAACAAGGCATTGGAAAGGGTTGAGAGGTCATGTGCTAYGAGAAGGATTGTCAAGAGAATTACTAATAAAAAAACTAACCTTTATGATGCTCAAACCTCCTTTCAAACACAAAGCATGCTAACCATTTGCACAAAAGATCCCAGCATCATGTTATTTATAAGCAGCCATAGCACAAAGCCCGTTCAAGTTACCTCCCATTAGGACATCTCAGACATCCATCTGCAGATGAAGTAAGTCTCTTTGTGCGCAGGACCACAGGAAGCKCCTCCAACAAGCCAAATCTGAACTGAGGTTTCCGGAGTTTAGRCGCCGCTCCGGCAGAACTCATACAAGAAAAAAAGCTTATTTTTTTCTGCAGAGCTTTGGACAATCATGCGCTGATGCTCTAATAAAACCAGAAAATATGAGCCGAGGATGCTTCCCTCTGTGTGTCTACCCCMCTCCTTCCTGCATCCCTCTTTCAAGCTCTTTACCCCCTCCTCCCATCCTCCTGTACTCCATCACCCTCCCCCCCTCGTCTCCTTTCTCCGGTGACAAAAGGGGCAGTTTGCCGGTTAATGGGCTCAGCCGGCACACACCGGTGTATTGGCTCATCCATCATACTACAGAAGAGCAAGACAGACAGATTACCCTCCCGTCATTTCAAAACGCTTCTTCTCCAGTCCCGCTTTTAAGGCGAGACTGGAGCTAATCTGGAGAGGAATCAGTCAGACAGAGGCTCTGCTKCTGCCTCTGTATTATTCTGCAGGCAGGACACACGAGACCCGATCGCTGCCTCCTGTCCTTGCCGGTACAGTCTGTGAATGCAGATATGCATGACAAGAGAAACGAGAACAAAGACTCTGCTCCCAGATTAAGTGAAAGATGCACCACGTTGCAGCGTGGCAAGTGCTCAGAGCACGGCTCCGCCTTCATGCAATCCCCATAGTATGATACTACCCTTTCAGCTCACTCCAGCCTTCAAATTCGTTTCACATTCGCTGCTTTTCTTCCCTTCATATTGCCAAAAAGAAGCCATCACCACCACAGAATGAAATTTACTGAACAGAATGAAAGCATCCAGGGATTAAAGCGCTGCAGCTAAGCTCATTAATGCAATATGTAAGGATTCAGATGAACAATGAGCACTGGTTAGGCTGGGCTAGAATAAATATGGTAGCTTATGGTGGTGCAGAGATGACCGATGCACTCTGCTGGCAAACTAGAAGAACTGCATCATGGGAAACATTCACTTCCACCAACGACTGAGACAGGAGCTCACAGCTTCTCCTTACAGTTGATCTTTATTAAACAGAAAACATCTACACTAAATGATCAAATCACGTCATATGGTAATGGTTAAAGGTTTATTTATTTTTACGTGCAGCACTGACCACCTCCGGATGTGCTCTAAATATTCAGACATCAATGCAGCTTAAATGCATCAGTATATTTTACTAATACAAAACTAACTTGTTACTGATTTGATAAAAAAGTGTATAAATATGAGCCAAGTTCTCACATCAGTTTTTAGACTTTTGTTCTGTCAGAATTTGATGTTAAAGGCACAGTGTGTAGGATTTGTTGTTTTCAGCGACATCTAGTGGTTGAGTGGTTGAATCATCCTCCCTGGTCCTCCCCCCACCCCCAACCCCCGCTTCCAAACACAAAGGAGTTGCTACGGTGTCTCTCAGGTGTCAAAAACCTTTGATAATTCCAACCGCGATGTCTACCAGCAGCTTCAGGGCTAGTGATGTTTCAAGTGGTAAGATTATGAGCTTTTATAAGTAAAATTATCCCAGCTACAATGACAGACAACAAATATTACATTTATAGTGTTACAACTAAAACCGTTTTTGACGCCGCCACCGCAGTTTGTCCTTCATGAGCCTTCGTAGACAAGATGGCGGCTGCCTGTAGTGGCGACCCGTGACCATGGAGATATAAACAGATTTTATAAGGTAAAAATAATAAAACAAGGTCTTTGTCTGCAATGATTAGACATGTTTTTTATTATTGTCATTAGTGATTATCCCAATTTCGGCTAAAAGAATTGACAAAATCCTACACACTGTGCCTTTAATGCTTGTTACCTCCGCCAATGGAGGAGGTAATGGTTTTGGTCGTGTGTGTCTGTCTGTCTGTCTGTCTGTCTGTCTGTCTGTCTGTCTGTCTGTCTGTCTGTCTGTCTGTCTGTCTGTCTGTCTGTCTGTCTGTCTGTCTGTCTGTCTGTCTGTCTGTCTGTCTGTCTGTCTGTCTGTTGACAAAATTACTCAAAAACTTGTGGACGAAGTTTACCACATGTGGGTATTGGACAAAGGAGCACACCGTTGAATTTTGATGATGTTCCGGATCACGATGCGGATACAGGAATTTTTCTTTTAATTCGAGCAAATCAGCCAGGCTACACAAAGTGTCATTACATCAGAYGCATGTCTGTAGGAAACAGGAAGTACAAGTCGCAAACTCACTGGGACTACACATTCCAGGATGTCTACTATCAGGAAAGTTGTGATTATTCTGTTATCAACTACTATTGGCGATGTTACATGCTGTCTGGAGACGTAGAAAAAGAAATGCGATTCTCTTCAAGTTACAGGAGTAACTGAGGAGATGCTGACAGAGGGGGGCTGAAGCTGGACTGCCGGGAAGAGCTGATCAACCTTGTGAGGTTGATCAGCTCCCCTCCACATAAGAACTTTATTGTGGGATTGGTCAGAAGTTAGTGGGAGTGTTTGTTTGTGCTGAAAGCGCTCACATGCTGTACTTTGCTTAAACTAGCTTAAAAAAAAAAGGTGAGTTGCTTCCAAAGCTGACTGTACCAGGAAGCAGCAGATTATAAAGACAGCCAAACCATTAAAAACTCATAAAGGGGGATAAAACAGACGTTTTACACGGTGGAATCTGACTGCTGAAAACTTTGGAGCTTAATCCAGGACCAGTTTGTGGATGAATAACGTCAGGTGACGAGTCTCCGACTATTTTTTCGCATTGGAATCCACCGGAATGAAATCCCATGCATACTGCCTGTTTAAATGTTTGCTACGTCAGAACTTATTCGGCAAATGTGTTTCCATCTCTCCTTCTGTGCATTAACTGTATTGCAGGATGGGGTAAATGGCGTTGGTGGAGGTTTGCACTCTCCGAGTGCTTCTAGTTATAAACTGCAACAATGGTTATCAACCTTATGGGGGCGCCAGAGAGCACAGTGCTGCCCATAGCCTTGTCTGCTCACAGATTGTGAAAATGTCAATTTATTGTTTCTATATAAAAATCACCAAAACAAGTTCATTTGAATAATTAAGACTGTAAAACTCAGTTTCCTTTTCCAAATTAAAGTTTGTAACTATTTTTTGTTATTTTATATTGATGAAGGGATAAAGGTTTAGTGCATCTTTGGTAGAGGTGGGAAGTTGGATTGACTCCCTTCATTCCACTGGGGGCTCGGTAGGTTGTTTACATTTGTTCTGAAAGACCTTGTGTGAAACAGGAAGTAGCCAAAACCAGAAGTGATTTGTCAAGTTGTTCAGATTGTTCGGAAATTACATAGATTTTCCGCAATTTTGGAGGTATAGGGCAATCTCACTGGGTTTTTTTTTTTTCCAGTCACACTGATTTTTTTAAAATCCAGCTTCAGGTTCATTGTATGTCTCAGATCCAGTAGGACTTTTAAAAAAAGCAATAAAATTAAATAACCATCTCCCAACATGCTCTGCCACTAGAACAGGGGTGGGCAATCCTGGTCCCCAAGGGCCGCAGGACTGCACAGGACTGCGGCCCTCGAGGAACAGGATTGCCCAACCCTGCGCTAGAAATAAGCTCTCCACCTCCTCGCCCTGCTCCTCGGTACTGCAGACCCTGTTTTATCTCCACCCCGCATTCTTTGTTCGTGGCCAACAAGTCCACCTACAGATTTTTTGTGAAATGTACAGATTTTTGAGGTTCATGTTACAGGTAAACATCTGAAGGTATTGACAATTAAAGAATCAAATGTCTCAAAAAACTGAAGAAACATCTATATTTATAGTTAGATACATTACCCAACGTGGTAAGTTGTTTGTTATTGCATTATAAAGCATTTGTGTAACTGTGTAGATTTATTTTTGTGTTGTAAACTACTGGTAAATGTGATTTTCTTGTGTAAGTGTTCTGGAAAGATTAGCATTATGCTAGTGGCTTTCTATGGGTTTTAGTCTGTATACAGTATAAGCATCTAATTAGGATGATGCTAATGTTTGTTTCTTGCACAATATTTGGGGGGGGCTTGGCTTGGCTTGAAAGTAAGAAAGGGGGTCTTTGAGGAATACAGGTTGGGAACCACTGTTCTACACTTTAAAATCAGTGTCTAATTCTTCTGGCTGAGGCAAGTCAAGACAACCAGAGAAAATATTCGAACAAAAACAGACTGTCCAGATATTGGTTGGGATGCTATGYTTCTAGGACAACTCACCAAAATGGCCATTGGACATGAGCCAAAGACAAAAATCTGAAACATCATAACTCTCTGCAAAGTATTTTTGGAGCTCACCTGAACGTTGCCAAAATCAACAGTCTCATAATGGAAATGGGCACACTCTGCCAGTCTGGGGAAGTGAYCCTTGGGGAACGTTAACCTAGAACACACAGAACAGCAACTCATCAACATTCGAAACACACTGATGCTTTGGTGAAGAGAGGAGCTAGAGAAAGGAAGGAAAGATAAAGACCAGGCTTATGTGTGAGAGCAGTGATTGAGATTCACTAGGCTGACTCGTCTGGGAGTGTTTGTGAGGTCCTTGTTTCCCTGGCCTAAATAAGAGCCCTGGTTTACCCCGGTGTCCTATTCAGGTCAGCGAAATGTCTCAGAAAAGCAGTGGCAACGTCACTGAGAGCACCTACTTCTTCATGTTCTTGACCTTCATGCTCGCGGTGCTGACGCAGGAGCGCAGGAGGGGCTCGGCTGGATGATCTGTGAYGTCATCGCTCCTCACCTGCYGAACAGAAACATCAGTGAACATCAGCCAATCACAGGTCAAATGATCATGATCGCACAWAACAGTTGTAGTTCAGTAAAATGATATTTAAACTCATTTGCCTTGTAGGAAAAATCCTCCCCTTGAGATGAAGACATAACAATATAGACTTTGARTGAGAGAGGATATGGAGACCTGATTATGTGATAAATTAGGCTGGGTGCGTGATGAAGCTGAGGTGCTTTTATATCTGGTTGATGTTCAGTGCTAACGTTAGCTTCTGACAACAAGTTGTCTGGGGCAAAACAAAAGAAAATAAGGAATCCCTAACATTACCAGCCGACACTCCTCAGAACTTAAAAGGGCCAATATTATGTGTTTCTCAGATATATATTTAAATACTCTACTACTATAAAGTATCTATGTCACCTTCAGTTGTTATTAAAATGCTGTTTTTTTATGTTTAAATCTAAAATAAACTTATTTTCTCATCATTTCCGTTTCTAAACACCTTGTGAATTGGCCTCTGTCTCTTTAAGAATCTCCTTCCAGATCTGTCTCAACTATTTCAACACATTGTGGTGGGGGGCTCAGCGTGGTTTACTTGGCATCTGAAAATACATTTCCTCAAAGGTATTTTGAATCTGAAAAGGGCTGCACTGAGAGGTAGTACTGGGAGCTCAGCAGACAGTTTCAGTTTCACCAGTTGTTTGCTTTGTTGCTGCGGAGAGCCTGCAGGAGTCATGGGTGTGTGTGTGTGTGGGGGTGTGCTCCGTGATGAGGAAGCTCAGCTTGGAGACACAGCCAGAGGAGGAGCTGATCCCAAAAGGCGGTTCTAGTCTCAACCGGTCGTTTTTGCTCCCCTGCCTGGCTGCCTCAGGACACCACAGGGTTTCTCAAACATGCATGAATGAGTCAATGTAAGACTCTGGGCATGTATTTGATGAGAGGATAACATGATATAAAACTTGAAAAAGTTGATTTTACATGATATAGCCCCTTCAAAGATAACAGAGACCATGGCAACTTTTGTTTGGGAAGCAGAAATAATTACCGATGTTTCAAATATATTGTACATAGCTTTTTACTGTAATTTTATTCATGATMAACTGTGGTTTTTAGCACAGTTGAATACATAGAACACCTGTKTTTTTATTTTTCTTGTTAAATAGGACATTTCTAAAACCAGATGTAGAYGTCAACAAAACATTTCATTTTCACTAAATTGACCCAGATTTTAGCCAAGGTATCTTATCAACCCAAACGATCGTAGAGGTTCTCACACATCTATCAGGATAGGCAGATGTCCATGCAAATATTATAAACTAGTAGGTGCAGTGACACAGCAAATATGACCTGAAWGTTTCATTAAAGTGTGAGATGCACTCAAAAAACAGATTGTTGGATTTACTTAACCRAGTTATGTCAACAATTTCCACTCAACTGAGTTGAGTAAATATAAATATTCRCATTTATTWTGAAAGAAAATGTGACAGTTGCYGACGCTCACATGACATGTGACCTCAGTGACATCATGGAAGTGAACCACTTAAACAAACCGAAGCAACGTCATGTTTGTTTGGGGATGTATTATCTGGTCTTAGTGATGAGCGAGTGCTCCAGAGTTGTAATGTCACTAAGTACAAATACTTTGTTACTGTAGTTAAGTAGAAATTTTGGTTATCCGTACTTGAGTAATTATTTTTCAGCCTACCTTTTACTCCTTACATTTTTACAGAATTAACTGTACTTTTTACTCCTTACATTTTTTAAAAAGCTAAGAAGTAGAAAGTCGTTTCTCCTATTTCATTTCGATTTGTTATTGTTTAAAACAAATACTATCCTGAAAAATTGTGGCTCCTTGATAGAACGAATTTATTTGTGGTTGGATGAAAAGTATAAATATATACCATTCTGATATTGCATTTAKTATGTACATAATCCATCACAGCTGCACACTTTTAGAAAAAAATATTTTTTGGAGAGATCACCTCCCAATAAATGTATTTTGGAAAATCTAACCGTTCATTTTTACTCAGTACTTTTACTTTTATTACTTAAGTATATTTTATGAAATTTACTTTTGATACTTAAGTACAAAATAAATCAGATACTTTAAGACTTTTACTCAAGTAATATTCTTAGAAGTGACTTTAACTTGTACCAAAGTAATTTTATGATAAGATACTTGTACTTTTACTCAAGTATCACTTTCAGGTACTTTATACAACACTGGAGTGCTGTGTGTGTGTGTGTGTGTGTGTGTGTGTGTGTGTGTGTGTGTGTGTGTGTG